TGACCCAAACAAATAAAGAAAAGATATAACCTTCAATTAATTTGGAGCAAAAACTCTGATATCAACTGATGCGAACCCCGTAGCAACGTTGATTACGAAACCCACAACGAGATTGATGAACCCAATAAAGCCAAATTAATCCAAGAGTTTAGGATTAACCCAAAAGAAAGTCGAATAAAAAACCCAACAAGAACGACGCTTGAAAGACCCCTTGATCACGCAATCCAAGAATTAAATCCGGTTGTTTGAACGCCACAAGTTATCACTTGATAAGTTCAAAGTTGTTCAATGAAGAACGATGAAGAGAAGACAATACGCTTCACTTTAATTCAATATCAATAATGTCAAAGGTTTTTAACAATTGAATGAAAACTCCTATTTATACTAAACCTAAAAATTAGGTAAAAATCGTGCAAAAGTCGAGCATAATCTCCAAAGTATGGAAAAAAAATCAAAATCTAACAAAATATGGAAAATTGCCAAAATTGGAAAATTCGGCAAATTTTTGGCCTGTGCGGCCGCATGGTGTATTTCCATGCGGTTGCATGGTTCAACAAAAAATCTCAATTTAAGTTTCGGTATGTCACTGTACGGCCACATGGTGTTTTTGTTGTGCGGTCGCACAGGCTTATTTTCAGCCTCCGGTTTCTTCGCTTGATAACAAATTGATCCAAGTTGATTCGGCTTTCGATCCAAACATGAAAGTTGCTCCATTTTGAGTCCCAAACATGGTTCCATCAATGGTTTCTTGAACGAGCAATCTCATCGTTTGTTTCACTTGCTTTGCCCTTGATTGCGTCATTGGTCCGCCATCGACTATCAACAGATCTCGTCTCGCACTTGCCTTCGTCGGGCTCGACTCCTGGATCATATCACTCTCTCTCTCTCTCTCTCTCATCTATTCACTCAATTGCCTAGAATGTATTTTTTTCATGCAAATTTCATGCTCGCAATGAAACGAAATAATATTTTGACTGATTAAAATCTTAAAATAATATTAATAAGAAAATACATTTTTACATTTTTTACGCCTAGACTTCGTCTAGACTCGCCTAACCTGAAACCTTCACGCCTCTCCATGCATTACGCTTTTGATAACATTGTGTACACAGTAATTGACTTTCTTACTTGTTATGTTTTGAATTTGATGACTTTTTTATTCTAAATTTCTTTACTTTCTCATTTTTTTTATTTTACTGACAAATAACATGCCATAAAACTATTTAACCGACTTAGCTATTTATAACAAATTGGATAGGGTTGTTATTGGATCCAATTAACCTCTATCCATTTTTTATCCATTTAATTAACGGATTATAGAATTAAGATCTTGATCGGGTTATTGGACTAAGACCCTAAATGTATCTCCCATTAATTTGATCGAATTCGGATCGACTTTGGATCAATATCCAATCCGGGGGTGGCAAGATGACTGTGAATATGAGCATAAAGTATAATCTACCCAAGTTATTTATGTACACGGCCACGTCCCATGCAAGTTATATGATTTTCCAGCTGGAAATCCCGTTACAGAGGTCTTAGGTTGGGACTATGTGACATCTGTGGCCGAGTGATAAAACGAACCATGAGGGAGAGAGAGAGGCTTAAAACCTATTAAGAGGTTTCGACAGACTCGATTTTGGTTCTATGCAATTTTATTTTGTTCAATGTAATTATTTTCGTCCAATTTTTCATATCCCCTACTTCGAAAGTATCCAAAAATCATCAATATCCTCGTTTTGATTTGAACAAATTTCAACAGTAATGAGATGGAAATTGTTGCAATTAGCCTTGGAACAACTTCAATACAAAGTTGATGTGGCTAGTAAATATTAAGATTTGATGATTGTGTACTACGTTATGTAAGTGGATTTATGTCTATTTTAGTTTAATATGTGTTACATAGTTGTGGAGCATCTTCAACTTTCAACACATGTTTGACAATAGTTCTCCCCGAACATCATCAGGGGAAGAAATGAAAAAAAAGTTCATAGCTTTGTATATCGTTATATAAAGCTACTTTAAAAGGAGATTGGAAAGATGCTAAAACTGCTTTCAGATTGGGTAAAAGTGCAGGTTCTCTTAAGATAACAGAAAGAGGAGAAAGGCCTCTTCACATATTTGCTCTCGCCAAGCAAACTGTGTTTACCCATGAGCTAGTCAAACAATTGGACAAAGAAGACCTGAAATTGCAGAATGATTATGGACACACAGCTTTCTATTTTGCAGCTATATCAGGGGTTGTAGAAATTGCCGAGGCCATGTAACAAAAAAAATGAAGAACTGACAAAAATTCGAGACGAAAGGAATATGAGCCCGATTGAAATGGCAGCTTTGATGGGAAAGGAAAAAATGTTTGAATATCTTCACGACATTACACCTATTAATAAAGATTTCAAGGCCAAGGAGCACAAGGACATTCTTGTTGCAACTATCGACAGTGACATGTATGGTATGGAATCTCTGTTCACGACTAGGGACAAGATGACAATGAAAATTATATTTGCAATAGTTTCAAAATTGCTTTTCTTATATGCAGATATCGCATTGAAAATATTGGAAGCTGATAGAAGTATAGACATTTCTCCAGATGCCGTGAAAGGAAGTGCTCTACACGCATTAGCTCAAAAAACTTTGTCACACTATGGTACAAGTCAAGAATGGATATGTGAAAAACTCGAGAGAATCACCCCTTATGTTCCCTGTAAGACCATTCTATTTATAATAGATTTGACAGGTATTGACCCATCGGTTGAACCATCGGGTCACCTGTTGAACCACTGACCCCGTTGAACAGCTACATTGTCTGAGTCAGTGTTTGGACTAAGTCTGACAACCATGGTTTAAAGTCTGGACTTTGTGTGTATACAAACACATAAATTTTGGTATTTTCATTCATAGCATACATTTGTATATATACACGATTTCTAAAAATGAGAAAGAAAGAACTATTTTACTACCTACATCAAAAGCAAATCCCTGACTATGCTCCTAATTAATCAATTACAATGAATGAGTAATACATGCTGGAAAGATCAGATCACAGTGCTAAGATCATGGTGATTTGTTTGCTGAGTTTATGGAAGATATTTCTTCCCTTATAGATGATCAATACATAGATTTATTCACTTTTTTCTTAGTAGTTGTTTTTTTATTTTTTTTTGGCTCTGTAGATAATATGAATTTTAGAAATAATTTAGCAATGATTTTAGGTTTCAAAAGGGTGTGTGGTTCAATTCAAATGCGGAAACAAGCCAATCAGTTGGTAAAGGAGCTCTGCGCACAATTAAAGGATTGGGAAATTTCAGTCATATGTAGCCAACGAGAAACTCCTATGCTTACTGATGCTGCAAAAATTGGGAATGTTGAGTTTTTGACTCTGCTTATCCGATCATATCCTGATCTTATATGGAAAGCTGACTCAAATGGTCACACCATATTTCAAGTTGCAATTATTAACTGATAAAAGAAAGTCTTTAATCTCATCTATGACACAGGAGCTATTAAAGATTTATTGATGTCCTTAGAAGATAAATCTGAAAACAACATTTTGCATTTGGCTGCAGAATTACCACCTTCAAGCAGACTCAATATTGTCTCTGGAGCAACCCTTCAAATGCAGAGAGAACTACTGTGGATTAAGGTGAGAAACTAACACGACTAACAAATTCCCTTTCCTTTGCCCCTCAAAGAGGTGAGGAATAATTTATAACATGGTGGTGAATTGTGTCATCTCTTGTTTATCTTGAATTATATATATATATATATATATATATATATATATATCCATGTTAATACATTAATTTGAGTAAGCTTTACAAGAGGTGGAGAAGATTCTACGACCTTCTGATGTTCAGAAGAAAAATATTAACAAAAAAAACACCTAGGGAGTTGTTTACGGATGAGCATGAGAAGTTACGGGTTGCTGGTGAGAAGTGGATGAAGGACCCAACAACTTCTTACATGGTTGTGGCAACCTTAATTGCCACTGTTGTGTTTGCTGCAGCCTTTACCGTACCAGGCAGGCATAAGGAAGTAACGGGGGCTCCAATTTTCTTGAACGACAAGTGGTTCATAGTTTTTGTGACATCTGATGCAGTGGCAATGTTTAGCTCGACAGCTTCCATAATGATGTTCTGGTCTATCTTAACTTCATGCTTTGGAGAAGATGATTTTCTATTTACATTACCAGCAAAGTTGATGGGTGGACTAGTTACACTCTTTGCTTCAGTCATTTGTATGGTCTTAACATTTAGTACAACCTTCTTTTTGGTCTATAAGAAAGAAAAAGAAGGGACATTGCCAAAAATTGTTGCTGGTCTTGCTTTGCTTCCAATCTATAACATCCCAATTTCTTGATGAGGGCTTAAGTGTCATTAAATCAGAAAATAATATGTATCAAACAAGAAAAAAAAAACGTAATGATCATTTTTTTTTATATAAAAAAATGTTGTCTTTCAAAATAAAGTAGAAATAGCATTTATTCTCAAAGTGACTAATCATTTAAAAAAAAAAAAAGAATTCTTCCGAGAATATGAATTCCCTTTTATTTAAATAAGAACATTCTGCCACCACCGACCAATTACGAGCTCCAAACTTTCGATCTCTAATTACCTGAAAGGGGGAAAAATTTAAAGGGGTGAGATTTAAGAAAATCTCAGTAAGTGTGTGCAATGAAAGTAATTTACATTTAAATTAAGGAAAACAGGATTTCATATCATACGTATAGGAGACACACGAACTATTCCGAACAGAGGTGGTAGCAATTCATGTGCGTAGCGCTACTAAACTCCGGCCCTTTTATCATCACATATATGGCCCATAAAATGAATTCCAAAATTTAAAGTACAAAATACAAATTCACATAAACCACATGCAACATCACTTACCTCGTAATGAAATTTGATAAATAAGTGTGTGAAGAACTTGACTATCAAAAGTCCCCTTGTGAATTCTTGTGTGTCGGACAAATGACTTGTGTGTGTGAGAAAGGTGAGAGACGTGAGTTGTGTGTGTGGAAATGATAAAATATTTTCATGGGCTAAAATGGAATCTTTCCTTTATTTTCTCCATAATTGTGGTATCTACAATTATTGATTTCTTGTGTGTGAGACAAATGAAGTGACTTGTGTGTGAAAGAAGGGTAATTGCCGTGAGATTGGGTGTGAAAAATAATAAAATATTGCCATGAATTGGAGAGTGGAATCTTTCCTAGTGTGGAAATGGAAATTTTCCTTATTTGTTCCATATTTATGGTAATTATCATTATTCTTACTATAATTTGGCATACTTGACATATATACATGCATGTAATTATGTTAATTACCTAAACATATTTTAGTCATTCATGGTAATTATATAATCTACTTAATTATTCCATAAACAAAATGATTTTCTAATTAAACACGTCCTTAACTATGAATAGTCCACAATTTGATCCATAAATTATGTAAACAAAATAATTTGGTCCTTCAATATTAACTTCTCGCTAATAGATCCTAATTTCTAATATTAATGACTGTAACGAATTTTCAGGGTGCTACACAATCACTTTACATGCTATGCTGAATTTTAGGTTATGGATTTCCCTAATCCTCTCAACAATCTGGACGTCAAGGTTGATGTTTCGACCCCGTAAGCACAGGCTTTTCTAATACTAAGAAAAGTGGAGAAGCTTTGTTGTTGTTGTTGTTGTATTTTCTAATAAAAGGCTTTGTTTTAAGCTTTTGTTTTTTCTAGCTATTACTTTGTTGTTATTGTTGTTGTATTTTCTAATAAAATGCTTTGTTTTTCAAGTGAAGTAGAGAAGCTTTCGATTTCTTATATATTAATCTTTGTTATTCTTCAATATATATTTATATATAAATATCGCAATTACCATTGCCACACAAATTAAATCAAGTGGAGAAGTCCACAAGAAACATCAAAGTTTGCATGCCACAATAAAGATTTCTCTCTCTTTTCCACAAATTAGACCACTTGGTTTGTATCTAAAGCATTAGCAATCAAATATTAGATTATAGCCTCTCGGATGATGATAAATTCAAGTACCTAATTTACCTAAAAATGTCAAGTTGGATATTCCACAAATGTTTCTTTGGAGTCACATGCGTGCCTTCATTCTTCGTTCACTTCAAAAAAATATAGTTGCCTTTTGGGAATTGAGGTTTTAATGCATTATGTGCCGATCATGTCTTCTAATATTTAGTTAAGAATATCATACAATTAGAAAATAGTCAATATTCTACTTATCAAAGTAGACTCTAGTTTTGGGATATATATGCATTAATCTTTTGGATAGGGAGTTTGACATACCTTACAGTTGAATCAATGATAATAACATTTATGAATTGAATTGATCAATGGAGAATGTACTTGTGCTTTTTGTAAGTGTAACTTTAGTCTTTCATTTGGTTTTTCCTTTGTATCTATACTTGTATAAGGGTTTTTATTATCCCCACCTAATATTAATGGCTCATGTTGAACTTGAAAAATGCACCTCCAATGTAGCTAACAAATCCTAAGACCTTTCACATCTATGCGAACTGAGTTCTTATACACTTGGACAAATCATTGCCATACGTGGCCTCCTCCGGTGGAGTGGAGTTGGCCACGCACATTCCAACGGTCATGTCAGTTAAAGGTAGTTATATGAGCGTGTGAGGGCTTTGGGCATGATCCTCCAATGTAAAAGAGGATTGGTTTTTGTGAGTAACAAATAGTGATATGAGAAAGTTATTGTAAGAGTCTAAACTTGCATTACCTCTTGCGTGACACCAAGTGTAAGCTTTTATAATAGAGGAAGGTGAGCATAAACCGTCGGATGAAAAGACACGTAGTCTCATCCTAGTAGCTGAGGTCTCTTGTCATAGGTATCAATCCATTTAATGTTATGACTAACCGTAGCCCTAGGCCAAATATGTTAGACTAGACTTGTTGATTGAGTAGAGCCACCTATTCAGTAAATTGTCACATTACCTACTTGCTTCAAGATCTTGTTCGAAGATCCTCCATGTGGTGCTTTTATCTAACTCTTCTCATCAATAGGGGTTCAGTTCAAAGGCTCGGCTTACGGGGTACGGCCATGCCACAAGTGCAGAAGACATGGAGTGTTAGCTTGTGTCCTTTCTGCTGAGCGGCTACCACCTGGCACTGTTTAGAGCTTCGTTGGAAGAGGTGTAACTATAGTTCCCAAGTCCATATATGAATATTAATATAATGTGTGGACTTAAAATGTACAATATTAGTAAACTATCAAAGTAGTTCCCCAACTTGATTTTAATGCGAAGCCTTTATATTTAGGTTAACCCTTTGTAAAAGGCGAAATTTGTAGTAAGGCGGAATCGGATTTGAGAAAAAACCCTGGCACAAGGAAGAGCCCATTAGTGAAGAGGTAGCCTATTGGTGAGGCAAAATCAAAGTTGGTTGAGATCTTTGTTTTCTCTTGTTTTGGAGAAGGGCGAGCCCGTTGAGCCACTTAGGTTTATAGAGGCTAGCACTCTAAGGATTTGAGAGAAATGCCAGTTCTCGAGCTGTAGTAGCGACATGGAATCATGATTTTTAATGTATGTGTTGTGGGCACATTTATTGTATAATGATGGTGCTTGGTACAGCTAGCAGAGGTTACTCGAGCCCTTAGTGTGTACAATTCACAGATCCATTAGAGCCATTGACCTGAGTTTTTTTATAGGCACCCTTTGAATTTAACGTATTTGATTGTGATAGAGTGTTCGGCCAGGATTAAATCTGGTTCAATCAAACATTGGTGCTCCACTCACGCTGCCTATATAAAGAGGAAAGCAACCATTCCTTACTTTTTTACTTTACAAAAATCTCCCAAACCCCTCGAAAATTTCATTTCGGGTCACCATTGCTGCTGTCCTAGCGAGAATTCTTGCCCGCATTTTAGTGTCCTTTTGCGAGCTTTGTAGGTAAAAAAAACTTGAGTTTTTTTGTATTTGTGTTGTAAGATAATGACGTCCTCTTCAAAGAAGAAAACAATAGGGGGTTTGTGTTTGTGTTGTAAGATAATGACGTCCTCATCGAAGAAGAAAACAATTTGCCACTAATTTGTGCTGAGGTCAATTTGCCTCCAGTGATTTTGACTAACAGGATTATGGATGTCATGGGAGACCTCATAGTGCGTAGATAATGCAAGAGGGTCCAATAGATTATAGCATTAGGTGGGAGACTTCGTTGTGGTCGACCTGTGTAAAGGAGAGTGAGCTGGATACCTTTAGGGAGAGGTATAGAATCCATGATCCATGGAGATGCTTATCCTAATCTCTGATTAACAAGCCTATTTTCCCAGAAAGAGGTGTGTATCAATGAGTGAAGCGATTCTTAATGGGAGGATGAAGCTGCCTCTACACCCATTTCTTAGGTACATCCTTAGGAAATATAACCTAGTCCCCACCCAGTTAGTGCCAAATGCATTGAGCCAATTGGCAGGGGCCTTCCATCTTTAGAAGGAGGCCACTCTTGGAGAGGATATGCTTCTCATATTTTTCGTACACTCTTTCAGCCTTGAGCCTTTAGTGGGAGAGGATTGCAAGGGGGTAGTATTATATAAACCCTTGGGGTCTGCATTTACCCTTCATTTAGGGAACTCTACCTTAATAAAAAATTGGAAGTCATCTTGGTTTTGGATTAGGAGATGCTGGTAGACAGTTGAGAGAGATGCAGTCCCTATGCCAACCTAGTATCATGTGTATAGTGAGTTTAGATTCAATTGAAGATCTTTCATTTATCGTATTTCAGTATCTATTTCTAAATTGTGTTTTGTGCAGTTGTAGTTAACCAGTTCAAGTTCAAACCTTCAAAGTGGGCCACCATTAGAGCTACTTACAAGTTGTCCACTGAGAGGAGGTACTTCAACACAGTGCTTAAGAAGCGAGCTCTATTTGTAATACTTACTAACGGCGACCAAAGGTAAGCCATCGCCAAACATTGTCACTCTTGATAGTTTGACTTGATTTTTGGCTATACTAATGGCGTATTTCACTTGCAGAGTAACATGGTAGAAAGAAGTATGTCAAGCACGACATGTTCTATATGAGCCACCTGGCCAAGGAGAAGAAAAAGAAACTATTGAACTCCACTTCTTCCGTCTACAAGGAAGTTGGTTCTAGTAAAGAACATCCGGCCTTTACCTCCTCCCAAGCGCCAGATGACAATTGACGAGTCGTTGAAAAAACTAATTGAGGCAAACCCCATCTCTTCCATGAAAATAGTGGAGGTGAAGGAAATGAACAAGGAAGAAGGGTGCCTCATAAAAAAAGAGAGGCAAAGAGGCTAGTTGAGGTGGCCTTTTAAATGGTCCTTCAGAGAGAAAGGCTCAAAATTTTCTTAGAGGCAAG